TCCCTGTTGTAGATCAGGCACATTTATGAGCGTGACATGAGTCAGCCCATTTACAATTCAACTGTGCTTGAACGAGAAATGTCCCCCCTTTGGGAATGGCCTAAAGACACTTCAGTCAGTGGCACTGCCCCGGGGGGAAGGAGGAGAGATCAGGACGACAGATGTTTGTCCCGTTTGATAGGAAAGAAGGAGCAAACCACACAACACAATAAGGTCATATAAGTGCCGAAGATTAGAGGTGTTACAAGAGAGTAACAAACATGATAGAAAAGAAGTAGGAGAGATCAGGACTATAGCTTTAGTTCTTTAGTTTTAGAAAAGGTTTTACGGCATTTGCAACACAATAAGGTCATATAAGTGCTGAAGATTAGAGGTATTACAAGAGAGTAAAATACACAGCTTTTCTAAAAGAAGTAGGAGAGATCAGGACGATCTAGTTTAAATTTAGTTTTAGTAAAGAGTTTTACAGCACTTGCAAATAAGGTCATATAAGTGCCGCAGATTCGAGGTGTTACATACAAGAGAGTAACATACAGAGAAAAAGAAGTAGGAGGAGAAATAAGGACGATAGATGTTTGATAGGAAAGAAGAAGCAAACCACACCAGAGCACCCGCCAACCACCCCACTCTCCATCTATCTATATATATATATATATATATAACATTAAAAATGTTTACAAGGATTGCATCTTCGACCATAAGCCACGAAGGGAACACCACAGCACACAAATAAAGACAGTCGACAAAATCATGTCTTCCCAGACAGGGAATTGAACGTACCGGAACATCCTTCCTAACATAATCTGTCCCCACTGTTTCAGGCAAAAAAAATTCTTATGCAAACTGAGCCCAAAAACGTGAAATTATGCGATTCTGTTAATTTTTAACAAAGAATGATAAAGGAAAATGATCAGAAATTATGCAAAATAATCCAGAAATTATGCAAAAAATGACCAAATATTGCTAAATTATGCGGGGTGCATAAAACCACGGGGCCAGCAATATCAAGAATATTGTCACCGCCATCAGCCTCAGGTCAGGCAGAAGCTGGACGACAACTTCAGTTATCCGGATTTCAAGATTTACCCGCGAAAACCGAGTTCTATTACAAAAGTAACCAAATTTTTGTGTGTGTGTGTGTGTGTAAAGAGTTTTACAGCACTTACAACACAATTAGGTCATATAAGTGCCGAAGATTAGTGGTGTTGTTACAAGGGAGTAACAAACACGAAAAAGAAGGAGGGGAGATAAAGACGATAGATGTTTGATAAGAAAGAAAAGGAGCAAACCACACCAGAGTACCCTCCAACCACCCACTTTCAAGATTTACCAACGAAAACTGACACCTCTATTACAAATGTGACCAACCAAGCACAAGATTAACTCCTGACGCACAACAGAAAATGATCACCAAAACAAAAATATAAAAAAATTAAACCACACACACACACAAAAAAAACCAACTAATCAATCAAACAAACAAACAAACACACAAACAACCAAACAAACACACAAAGGTACTGACCTCTTCGTAGAACTTGAGCTGGGGCACAGGTTCGTCGTACACATTTTCACAAAAATCCTTGAATAACAAAAACCCTGAGGAAGAAAAAAACCAAACACACACGAGTGAGCTGCGCAGTACGTCAACATTCACCAAATGGAATTCTCATCAATGTACAGTGGAAATTGTCCAAGATGGCCACCCATTTAGTTTTAGTAAGTGTTTTACGTTGAAGCCCACGTGGGACGCTCAATGTTAAAAACAATCAGGAAACGACAAATGCAGTTTTTGGGACATCTGAATAGATAATATAAGAGTCTTGAACATCTAGCTCTCACTGGCAAAATTGAGGGCAAGCGAGGCAGGGGTAGGCCCAGAACAACATACTTAGGGAACCTAAACAAATGGGTAACAGGGAAAGATCAGGGAAACGTAGCTTTTTTCAGAGCATCTGAGCAAAGGAATGATTGGAAAACCATAATCGCCGATGTCTGTCACAGATCTGGCACGGGATGATGATGAAGTGTTTTACGGCACTTGCAACACAATAAAAAAGGCCATATATAAGTGCCGAAGACAAGAGGTGTTACAAGAGAGTAACAAACATAAAAAACGAGGAGAGATCAGGACGATAGATGTTTGACTTGATAGGAAAGAAGGTTCAAGGAGCAAACCACACCAGAGCACCCGCCAACCAACCACGGCCACCCATTGTCCAGGAGAAAAATGACTGTCTTAGACAGCAGGAGGCGATCTTGGACAGTTTCATTATAAATAAAGTAAAACTTTTTTTCAACACACAAGGGGGGAAGGGGAAATAATATAAAACTTTTTTAACACGCATGGGGGGGGGGGAGGGGGAGTTATTAGGTGGCCATTAGGGCATGCTGGACAGTAGGCTACTTCTGTCACTGTCATCGTAGTATATTAGTATATCAATCTAACCAACTTACAACTTTGGATTCTGCTGACTTGACTAAAGAACAGAAACAGAAAAAACTGCAGTGCAGCCTTTACAATCTATATGATTGCCCCAGCCAGCCCTAGAACATGACTCATGAAACATTCCCGGCTTCCCAGGAAGCATACAGTGCAAGCAGCTGATTAAGCACTCAAACACTTATTAGAACAAACTGACAAGATCTTTCACTGTCTAGAGCCAGGTGCCCATTCCCACCTGAGTGAATTGAAGAAAATGCAGGTAGAGTGCCTTTCCAACAGACACAAAGTAATCCCTAGACAGGATTCAAACCCATGACCTATCGGTTGCGAGCCCAACAGCCGAAGCACCACACAACCGACGACACTTAGGCAACAGGCTAGAATACTGACACAAACACAAAATGTTGACGTTTTCATGTCACGTTTTCATATTCATGATAGCAATCCAATAAAATTTTTGCTAATCCAAAACATATACGGTCCCTCCTAATGTTCAAACAGAGATCAAGAAGTTTTTTGACAAAGTCAGATGTGAACATATTTTCAAACTGCTCAGTAACAATGTGTGGCAATCCCAGAGAAATTGTCACAGAGATGCAAAAAAGTACTGATCCTACTCTTCAATATTGTTGTTGTTGTTGTTGTTGTTGTTGTTGTTGTTGCTGTTATCAATCCAGCAACAGCTGGGGTCTCCCCTTCTGTCCAATGCCATGTAGTGATATATGTACAGTAGTGATATGTACAGGTTTGCTGACTAGTTTCTCAATAAATTAGAATTCAAAATTTGGAAGAACACTATCTTTAAATGGTTGTGCTGACAAAAAAAAACCCAACTCTTTTTCTCAAAACTTCTGCGAATAAAAAAAGGCACTTTGTCAGCTTACGGCAGTATTGTTATAAATAGCTGGATACAACCGAGCGACGCCATGCATCAGCTAAACTGGCATGCCATGAAGTAAGAGTTAACCTTTAAAAAACCTTTATCTATCTAATATAAATAATAATGTTTGTCCTTACCAAGTCTCTGATTGAAGATCTTGTCAAACGTCACTTCATTCACTTTTTGCAGATGTTTGTGCATGACACTCCTGACACTGGAAAGAAACAAAACACATCTGGAATAAGAAAAGCAATCAACTCCATCAAAGAAACAAAATTGAAAATATTTCCATTAATTTTATTACGGTCAGATGAAAAATGAGCAGTGAAGTACATTCCACTGGCCTCATTGCCACTTTCCATTTACAATCATTTTTCCTTACCTCCTACGGAAAAGACATAAAAATATCAAACAAAGTCTTGAATGTAAGAGTTATAAATGCATTGCCATAACAAAACAGATGCCATGTCCTAATCATATTCAAAAAAATTCGAAATACATTCATCAATAATGTAATTTCAACAACAACAACAAATAATTTGAAAAGTAATCAGTTGGGAGTAGAGAGCATGGACTGAAAAACCCATCAATCACACATCATGTATGACTGTTCCCACAATCTGCAGCACTTTGGTCCGTTCACTTTATCGTGAACACATTGGAAGCAAGATTTCAAAACAACCACTTGTTCTTTTAGCTTTAGTAAGAGTTTTACGGCACCTGCAACACAATAGCGTCATATAAGTGCCGAAGATTAGAGGTGTTACAAGAGAGTAACAAACATTTTAAAAAAGGAGGAGAGATAAAGACGATAGATGTTTGATAGGAAAGAAGGAGCAAACCACACCAGAGCACCCGCCAACCACCCACTAACAACCACTTGTTCCATCTTCAACAAATTTTGAGTAATATGTATACGTGCACCCTGTTATATTAACGCATATTGGGTACCTTATTAGTGTCTGGTCAATCAATTATTTTTCTTTCTCAACAATACAGAAAATGATTTCAAAATCAAAATGTTATATTAAAAGCACCTTTTTATTATAAAACAAAACTATGAAGAAACCAACTAATACAACTGCACATGTTTTATTATTATAGTAAAGATTAAGAAAACAACCCCTTTGTGTCGATGCTGTGGAGCAGCCATATTCATCACCAACGGTGAACTTTATTTCTACGCCCACGTGCCCACTTATTGTGACGTCCAGCAGAGAGATTGCTCATTAAGTGCAGAGACCGCAGTGCTGTACAAAGCCTAAAATATTCATGGGCATTGCATTTATAACACTTTCAAATATTTATGAACAGGAGACTATATGGTCGCTTTTAAGGACAAGCGGGCTAACCCAGATTTCGGGGGTTTCCAGAAATCTTGACCTACAACAAAAGTGGGCATTTTCCTATCTTCTATAGAAGAAGTCTGGTTTCATTAAAGGTGCGCATTTTTTTGTTTGGTTATAAAAATAAAAGTGTAAGAAAAGGTATGTGACTGACTCAAGGTAAATTATATCTTACTCTCATAGAGGTGGGTGGTTGGCGGGTGCTCTGGTGCGGTTTGCTCCTTCTTTCCTATCAAACATCTATCGTCCTCATCTCCCCTTCTTCTTTTTTTGGTTTGTTACTCTCTTGTAAAACCTCTAATCTTCTGGCCCTTATACGACCTTATGCAGTTGCGAGTGCCGTAAACCCTCTACTAAAACTAAACTCCCACAAACATGGTGGCCAGCTGTCTCAGTTCTGACCAGCACCAGGGCCAGCCCAGGTTACACGGAATATTGATCATCGCAGTCAAAAGATGGAGACACTCAATCGGACGCACGACAGTGCCCGTCAATGCCACTCTTACATAAATCCCCAGCAGACCAATAATCTAAACCATCATACAGCAGAGATGTAACAGAATTTCTCACGCAAAAATGTGGAGTACCGGTACTTTCTTACTATAAATAACAATACCTTTGTCCCTTTAAAGGTCTCTCTGATAACACTTTGGTCCAATTTTTTAAACTATCCGTCAATCTGTTCAGTTGAACCTTTAATTGCAGTAATGTTATGTACGTAGTTCTTCTTTACAAAATAAATGAAAGCCTCCATTTCCTTAGATGTTAGATGTAAGACAAGCTGGGAATCACTTCTTGTAAAATCACAAGTCACTTTATAGAAACATGCATGGCCTTTAAAACCTGAAATTTGCAAATTTTTCATCTTTTTGAGACAACAAATTAATTTGACTAGATCTAGAGAGATATCATCATGTACATGTGCTCTTCTACTAAAAATAAATTCACTGTGGCCTCCAAACTCTAGACTTTTCCACAATGAGACAGCAAACATCTCAAAAATACTAAGTGCTTCACTAAATAGAAAAAAAAACTTTTTGGCTGAGAGACTTGTAATAAACCAAGGACACCTCAAAGACAAAACTAAGTAAGTGCCTATCGGTGTAAGTATTTTAGTATCTCCAGACTGTCACGATGAGGGTTACCGACATTCCACAACTACTACAGTCGCATTTCTTCAGAGTTGTCCACACAGGTCGTACTCAGGTAGGCCTACTGACAGCCAACAGAGGTTAGCCACTTTTACTGTTAAACATAAATTCTTAAAATCATTTTTTTTAAAGCAAAAGCAAAAACCTAAAACAAAACCCCAGCACCCGGCGGGAACATACAACAAGCATCCATGTTTGGATTCATGATAGAAACAATTGTTTTTTAAAACACATTGACCCATTGAGCATCGAACCATTATAAATCTCCTCAGTCACCTCTGATCTCACTTTATTGTAGTTTACAAACGATAATGCTCCTCTTCAAGCCTGTGTGTATTTTTTCTTGCATTTGATTTTTTCAAATACCCATCTACCTTGACAAGAAGTAGAGATATTTGCTATTAAATGAGGTGGGGGGGGTCGCCTGGTGTTGGAGGCAAAATTAGTTAGCGAGAAAATGGCCGTCAAAGTTTGGCGATTTCCACAACTGCAGAAATTTGTAATTCTTTTATGCTTTTTGATATACTCCTTTTTCAGTAAAATCTACACACAGAGATGTTTCTAATTGGACATGAAAGGTGCTGAAAGAAAAAAAAATTTCTATAAAAATTTTCAAAAAGGCAGGAACAATGTTGGTTTCTCCAACTCCACGACGAGACAAAAGCCTGTCTTTCATATTGGCCAACTGTTTCAATAAAAGTAGTCTCAATGCAGCAAACCTGTTGACATCAATTTAAGACACATTTTTTAAAAGTAACAGAGCCTACAATACATTCTTACCCTAGATTCCCTGCTGCACAATTTTCCCCATGAGTCCACTGAGTTATAAATGTTATGTGTACATGTACACTGTGTTGAAGATTTTTCCCTTACCAGCGTGATCTGACATGTCACTTCTATTATATAATATAATAAATACCACAGTCAGACCTGCCTTGATGGAAATCTGACCCAAGACAGAAACCTGTCAGAACGGAATCTCCCGCTCTCCCCTTAATGATAAGTTCCTCTCTATAATACATCTCTGTCTTATGGCAGTAAACCTTCACAAACCAGAAACAGACACGAGAAATTTCTTCACTTTAACAGTCAGGTTGCAACCTCAGTGCTTTCTTGTCCTATCTCCAATTCTATAAACAGTATCAGTGAAAACAGGTCATAACAGAGAGTGAGCTAAAGAAGTAAAGAAGTCACATTTTCATTGTTAAAAAAAAATGGAGCTAGGACAAGAAAGCACTGAGGTGTGTGTGTGTGTGTGTGTG